TCTTCGCACTCCATATATAGACTAACATATTTGCGCTGTTGCCCCCAACCACACTTGGAGTGGGTTGTTTCCGTAGGTGGATTTTTGACACGGGTCTTGCCCGTGTTGAGATTGCGCTGGAACCCCCATTCCCTATACTACTGATGTTTCAGATGTTATTCAAAACTATAGTACTATTATAAAGTTCCCAGACTCAGTAGCGCGCCATTCCATTCTTTTTGATTTAAAAACTTCTCAGTCACTTGTTTATTAGTTATTAATGTCAGTGCGTTTAGAATTGAATGGATCAAGGAATAAAGGACCGCAACCAATATCCAACCAGAAAAATATATTCAAATAAATTTGGTAAATAATTTTCCATGACAAGCTTTTTTCCAACAGTCATATTCAAATGCTTATACAAAAGAGTTCCTTTAATTATTTTTTACTTCCTTTTTTCCGGAAGAGGATGGGAATTTTAAAGGATGTCAAACAAACTTGAAAAGCAAAATAACTCTTTATCTTTGTTATGGCGTTTAAGAAATAATTAAATTTCCAACAATATTTTGGCTTATTTTGTAAACGAAAGTAAATTTACTCAAAGATATATTTCTATTGGCTTACACTGAAAAGATTCCAGTGTTCTATAATATTTTTTGCCAACATTAAAATATTCATACATAAAAAACGCTGCTTGATTGATGCTTGAATAAAACGACTTTTCTGTCACAAAAAGTAGAAAAGTAGTTAGTAGATTTAAATATTTAGATAAAATATTGATAGACGAAATTTGTTTTTGCAAGTATCGCAAAAATTTGCAAAATTTATAATTGTTATTTTTGTAAACTTTTGGGTTTTTATTTCAAATGCTTCCTTTTCCTGCATATAATTTTTCCTTATGTTTACTTCAGCAGTTTTTCTGAGTAAAAAAAATGTGACTGAAGTTTTTTGAAATTTTATACTTTATGTAAATCACGTCTTTRCTTTCGATAGTTGCTAGGCAACGCGTGGACGCCTGTTCAAAATGACCATTCGATCCAAATCACGACATACCAATGGTTTTAAACCTAAATTTACTATGTTTTTCTTCCAGGTTTAACCTACTTTAATAAATCCAGGATGCGTCAGCCGGACAAGAATTCCAGTGTTTATGAACTCAACTTAAGTAGAGCTCCAAATCTACGATGTGTGAACAGTTCTGTTAAGTCTTGTATGACTTGTGAAGCTTGTAGACTTGGCTCAAAACTTAACCGAACTAAAGAATGGTTCGTTCGTTGTGGAGATCCTGCAAAAAGACGGTTYGTTCTTGGACTCATACACCGGTTTGAATCCTTAGACTTATTCATGTATATTAATTTTATCCTAAAACCGTTACAATATAAGGATTTTACGTACGCAAGGTCACGAAGTAAACCAAGTCTTCAGATGGATTTAGCTTCTCCTCCAACTAATCATGCGCTCAATGAAAACGAACTTGAACAAGCCATAGACGACACATGGCTATGGTTTTTAGACAGTGCTTATTGGACTAAGTTGAACTTTATGCTTGGAGTAATGCAGTGGTGTGACTCTCCGCTGTTGTTTATTATGGCTAACAAGACAAGGACATTATACCAACGCGAAAGACGTAAACAGAGGGCCATTGAAGAAGGAATCATTGAAGAAGGTATGTTATGTTTATCCTTCCTCTTCATCATTTATTATCTCTGATAAGATAGCTGTTCACATGGAATAATTTTTATATCCGCGGGTTTTATTGTACTTTAAAATTAATAACATAATGTCTGTAAAACTAAGAGTCATCTTTAAAAGGTGTTTTTTGTAAATTACTCCTAGAAGATACGTTTGGAAAGGGAAAGTTTTTGAAAAAAATTAATTGGTTTTCCTGTCATTACAGATAAACATGAGTACATGTCATTATGTAGTACAATGACCAGGAGTGAACTATCTATAATGAACGAAAGCAGAAGAAATAGTGAAATGGAAGTTTTCCGAGACACGCCAACAATAGAATCAAAATCATGTACCAGCATACACTCTGGTAGTACAGGCAAAACAGATGTCAGTGATCGCCATGCTTCTTGTCAGGAGGACGATGTGGAGAAAGATTCCACAACAAGACCTTCTTCTCAAAAATTTCGAGATTCTCCTGCAAGTGCAACAAGGTCTGTGCCATGCATAGGAAACAATCATAGCAACCACGAATCAAGAGATATTCATTCTGCACCAGCAGATTCTAGAAAAATACAACCAAAAACCCTACTAAGGTCGACTTTTGATAAGGATGTATTTAGTGATGATTATGCTTCAGGAGATGATTTTGAGGATGATGAGAACTTGATTACTGATCCATCTGTATTTGTCATGGCATTGCCAGCTATAGCTCATAGTGGCATCGCAAAGTACAAGGACTTTATACGTTGTTTGCCAGTCCATCTGTCAAAGTTTATCCTAGGATTACTAGACAAGAACAGTCTGACAAACTGCTTGTGTATCAGTAAACACTGGAGAATTCTTGCCGAAGAAGTGAAAGCAGATTATATGGTTCATCAGTTGATGGCTGAAGAAATTATGCTGATGCAGGTTAGTTTGTAGCAAGTCTTTTTTTATCTCTTTTTTCAATAAAAAAATTGTGGAATAGCCCACTTTTTTGATGTGCAATCTCAAAGTGGTGGACCATTCTCACACCCTAGCTGCTTACTTACCTCAGTTGTCCTTTGTGTGTTATGGTATATTTATTTTGAGGAGTAGGATAATGTTTAATTTGGTAATCTGTATTTAAATAGTTATAAGAAAGGAAAACTAGCTCTGCATTAGTACTATCATTTGTGACTATAACACAAGTGATGGTGGAAAGAGTGTTAACCCTCTTTAATTGAAAATGAATTTTCAATCTCACACATAGCTGCCAGGGGGATTTTCATGATTTCCATTGGACAAATACTCTCCCCTCCCTTCCCTAAAATCAATGTATCAATATCCCTATGTATCAATAAAACTGCCATTAAGAAGAGGGTCACAGGCACCCTAATATCCCCTAGACATCCCCCTGATCACCCTAATTTTACACTACCTATGATGGCAATGTTGGTCTAATTCTTGAACTTTTTAGTTGATTTTTGTATCCATCAAAAACATAACATCTTCACCAATACATTCTCAGGGTGCTTCTGCCCAAGGTATGGATCCAAGGTATGCCAAGTGCATTCCAGTACATGTGCCTTTGGATCAAGATCCATCTGTGGAGACAGTTTCTTTAAACCTCAAAACCAAGTCAATTAGTGGAAGAAATTTAGCAGAGTGTTATGACGGCATCAAGACAAAGACAGTAGAAATGGAAGAACGGAATATATACTGTGGGGCATACAACGTGTTGGTGTTACAGGATATGTAAGTGAAAAGTGTATTTTTTACTATTTCATATAATCTCAGTAAACAAAAAAAGCTGCATAGTTTTCGATTTTCTTATTACAGTGCGTAAGTGAATGAAAATGAATGCGTTCCTTTTATAGATTTACTAGATTCATTGTTGTTCAATGAGATTTACATTTCTCTGCAACTTGGTAGACTCTAGGCACAGGTTTTTTTGCATACGCGTAACAGTTTAAACCTAAAAACGTTTTCTAATGTGTATGCTTCCGTCCTTCAACATTTGCACCAGATTCATTAATGCGCAACACTAATAATGATGAACACTAAGTGTTCTGCGCAACGTAATAAGTTCAAGCATAAATCTTCCCGCATTTGCGCAATAGTGTCTAACGCAAAAGAAATAAGTGAAATTGATCCATTTTCCAAATGTATTAATCAATTGTATTATATCAATTAACTTTAGAGCTATAAATTGAAAATCAGCACAGAATTACGTAATATTATGATGATGTTTTATGATATTTATATGGCGCTCTTTTCCATATGGATATGATCAAAGGCGTTTTACAATGAGTTATGTATGAGAGGCGGTTAGTATGAGGTGTAGGCACTGAGGATGGTCACTGCCAGGGTTTCTTCACGTCCTCAGTGGTTCTTTTACGTCCCTCCGACATTCTTTAGTAATGATGAAGTGTGGATAGACGAGAGAAATCACACGTCCAATGCGCACTAAATGTCAGTATTCAAAAAGCCGGCACACTTTGTGATAAGTAGTTTCTTTACTTTCTAGAGAGGATCATCATCGTTGTACTAATTTCAGAGGAGGAAAATTTGTTGTTTCTGGCTCGTACGACAGACGTGTACGTTTGATTGACTCAGCAACAGGAAGGTGCGAGAGAGCCATCCAGGGGCATGCTGGGTCTATACGATGTGTGTTTGCATCAGAGGAGAGAGGGATTGTACTAAGTGGTGGATATGATACTTCTATAAGGTAAGACCTTAATGCGTGGAAGGTGACGTTACGCGATATATGTGCGCAATTCTTTTTGTAGCAGATGAGTTTTCATATGTCTACGTCGCCCAATCAGAGCCTGCTGTGCAAATTGACCTCAAAATGTGTATCCTCTGAAACGGATGCGCGCAAGGTTGTTTGCAACAGCGGGATTGTTCCGTGTGACTTCTTCCAAAACCTTTGTTACCTGAATAATAAAATGGTTCCATCTAGTAACCCTGAAACCTGATTTGCGCAAGTGCTGAATAATGATTGGTGTTATGTTTAAAGGTGCTGGGACATCAAACGAGGGAACTGCAAGCGTATATTTCGAGGGTAAGTTTGCATTAGTTCTATTCTTCCTCTTTTCTATCAGTCCTTTTTCTTCTCCTCCTCCCTCCCTCCCTCCCTCCTCTGCTCCCCTCCTCCTTATTTTCCACCTCTTGCATCTCTCCTTGTCCTAGTCCTCCTCCTTTTCCACCCCATTCTCTTTCTTCTCCTCGTCCCCTTCTCARGAACAAAAAACAATAGCGTTATGACACTGACTTCTCATTCTAACATAGGCATCGTGCAACTGTCATGTGTATTAGTCTCCATGGTAACAACTTGGCTTCTGGGTCACGTGATAAGAGTGTCAAGGTGTGGAACTTTGACTCTGGCAAGTGTCGACGGACGTTTCGTCATCGTCACGTGGTCCTTGATGTTCAAGTAAGGAAGCAAAAATCGTAGACATATCATCACACAATTATTCCAAAAAACCTTGAAATTAACTTGAAAAATTTCAAAGATTAGAATAGTTATATGCTAATGCTGATATTGTGGACGCAACGATCAAACGTATCACTTTTTCCGCATGAATATTACTAAGATTTTCTTTAAAACGTTTCAGGTTTCTGATACTTTAGCCATCAGTGGGTGCGAAGGAGGGAAAGTTAAGGTGTGGGACATCGAATCGGCAACCTTGGTTAAGGTAAGTAGTGTGGTTAAAAAAGTTTTAACAAGCCTTTAAATTGGACAAATATATTACCCTCTGTTTCACGTCTCCATTCTCATACTTTTTCCTATCCCTCTCACAGCACAATAATTTTTAATGACTTATAAAAAATTTCGTAACTTCTCAGTCCTTAGACGGCCATCACAACGTGATCACCTGCGTCAAGTTCGATGACCATCACATAATCACCGGCAGCATGGATGGTTACGCCATGGCCTGGAGCACTATTGGACGACACAAAAAATGTCTACAGGCTTTCCGCCATCCCAAGTAAGTCCAGCTTTGCTCTTTTGAGAAAAAGAATACTGGATTTGCAATTACAGCTTAAAATAAGCTCGCTAACATCGATATCATGTCCGATAACTGATGCCATGCTTTATGGTCAATCAGAGTGCGCGTTATGTTATAGTTATCGTATGAGTGCCATTCATTATTCTTTWTTTCCTTTTTTAGGGAGGTGCTTTGTATAGAATTTCTTTATTGTCGAATAATCACTGGATCTGCAGATGGGAAGGTAAAAAATTTCTCTCTTCCTCCATCACTCCCTTCCTTCCTTCCTTCCTTCCTTCTTTCCTTCCTTCCTTCCTTTCTTCCTTCCTTCCACCCTCCCTTGCTTTTTTCTTTCTTTCTTCCTTCTATCCTTTTCTAATTTCGTTTTACAGTTTTAAGGTTTTATATAACTTTATAATGATCATTATCATTACCAGCCCCACACGGCCTCTGGCACCCAGGGTAGAGTAGCGCACACAAGACTAACGTTTATCCTTTTTCTATCTAGCTGCGGATTTGGAACCTCTTAAATGGCGACTGTCTTCGCTTGATACGCGGGAACAGTAAAAACGATGCAATAACGACTATTTGCGCAAAAGACAGTAGGTCAGTAAAACTTTTTTTTTTTTTTTACATTTAAATCCAATTATTGCGTCTATAATTTTACTAATATTTTTTTCTATTTTTCTAACAGGATGGTCATAAACACCTTTAGTAACCTGTTAATTTTTAACTTCGAGGCCGTCGAATGGAACTACAATTTACAACCAGAGCGACCCGAGGGACTTGGTCGACTAAACCTCTACAGCAAAAACTCACCGCGGAAGCTTCCGCGTCATTACATACGCGCGCAAAGGCTCATGCGCGCAGATACCAAAGACAGCCTCCCCTCCAGACCCCCCTCACGCTCGGCCATCGGAGGGACAATCGATGATCCTGCCAGAAGAGTAGCCAGTGCGCCTATTCGATTGGTTCACCGAAATAGTACCCTTAACAGCATTAGTAATCACGTGACCAGGATCACCAGTGCGCATGTTAGAAAAGCAAAAGTTGTTAGGCCCCAATCTTCTCCCGCTAAGGTGACGTCAAGTAAGAGCGCCGAGTTTAACGTTGTTCCATTCTCTCCTGACCATAGTCTTAAAGACAATGCCTATTTTACTGACGTCTTACAAACCTACCCCAGGCCTCCTCCTCTACCAGATAACAAGTCGGCACATATTATATCACGTGGTCGATCCGCTCCAGTCTTTCGAACCCAGACTCTTCCTCTGAATAAGAGGGGGTGGACTACTTCAGCTGAGGATGTCATCAAGCCTTGTGAAAACAAAATAATGATGTCTCCGTCGCAAGCTAGGATGAAAGTAGCGAGGCAACGTCCGAAAAGTGCTCAAGAAGGCATCAACATGTCTATTTCAAGCAATCCTTTGAAGAGTCTATCCTGTCTGAACTTAAAGACCTACTCGAACCAACTGCAGTTTGAAGAAGATCTGAAGAAGACAAGGAAAGCACAGAAATTGAAGAATAAAACTCATGAAATTAGAGCTAGGTCCGCTGACCAACCACATCGGCCTCACTCATTTGTAGCATCTTTTGCATGACGAACACGTGTCCTAGTGAGAGTCACGTAAAATCACTTTGTCATTATTTTATATAAATTTAAAGTTGAATTCTTAAATAATTGCAAAAGTTAAAATTCACGTACCACTGGTGTACTTGCACACAAAAAAATTTAGGTGTTAAAGTTGCAAAATTAGAAGCGCATTTTTATATTTTTGATACTTTTGCATAAATACCTTTTGGTGAAATATATTTTTCATGTATATATTCGAAATTGACATTTGAAATAAAGCGTTTTTCATTCTAGAAAGATTGGCCATATTGTTGAGGATCTACATCTAATAAATAAAAAAAAGGAATAAAAAGCAAAAATTCAATTGCATAAGGTGGGATACGAACCCACAAAAATTCTAAAAAATCGATCCCACTTTGCCATACCCCCGAGACATCCGCAGAGCTGAGGCGGCGTATGGACTTCGGACCTGACGGCGATTAAAT